GGATTTAGTTAGATAATACAAGGAAAGTACTTAGAATACTCTCGGACATAGTGAGTATCCAATGATTGTTATCTAATGAAACTTCATATTTTATATTTTAGAAAATGGGTTGAAGATTGGCAGAAGCATAACAGGTGTCCATATGAGGCATAAATATGAATTATGGAAAGTAATATCAATGTTTCACTATTATTAGCTTGTATTCAAATTATTGTTGCTTTATTCACCATCCCAGTAAAACTGTTTAATTATTGGCTGATTTTATTTTATTATAAAATCAGGAATTTCATAAGCATGCTTAATTCTCTGTAAATCATAAATGTGGATGTATACATTAAAGATTCAGTTTAGTGTTCATTTATTCATTCATCCATAAACAAATACTTATGAATCTCTTAAAATGTGCCTGAGATGAAAACATAGGATGAAAAAGACAACCCCTGTTTTCAAGGAGTTCACAATCTAAAGGACAAAGGGAAATATAAAAACTATTAATTACACTGATATCAAGTGCTGTAAAAGAGATATGGCTTATAAAAAAATAAGAGTTCAGGAAGTATTTAGGACTTCCCTGGAGGCCCAGTGGTTAAGACTCCACACTCACAATGTAGGGGGCAGGGGTTCAATCCCTGATTGGGAAAGATTGCGCATGTTGCACCATCAAAAAAAAAAGGAGGAGAAGCATTTGATTCTCTGAGGATATCAGGGAAGATTCCCCAGAGTAGGTATCATTTGAGTTGAGAATTAGGATAAGGAGGTTTTCCCCATACCAGAGGAAAACATTGCATAGTCAAGATTCTGCAAGTAGTTTAGTATGTTTAATGCACTGAGAAGTGGCAGGAAGCAAGTCTGAAGAGATAAAAAGAGACTGCATCATAAATTTGAACTTTATCCTACTATCATTGGAAAGATTTTAAGCAAACATTTTTATAAATTTTTTTTTCTATGCTAGATTCTGTGTTAGATACCAAGACTATGAAATGAATAGGTCATAGTTTAGTAGGAATGCCATGATTTAGGAAGATCATTCTGTTCAGGTTATGGAAGATGAGAGGGAAATCAGACTAGGAGGCAGGAAGATTAGTTAATCCAAGTAGGAGATTATTATGATCTTGGTCTGAGGCAGTGTTAGGGGAGTTAAAGGAGAGTGTCGTGGTCCGGGCGAGGGTTGGAAAAGGATTTCCAGACATGAGACAGAATGAGAGGGAAATTAAGTTTATCAGAATGGGAGACACTGTTAGAACAGCGGGCCAGCTCAAGAGAGAACCAACACTGAACAGGGATCCTTGCTGCTCTGCTAAGTCGCTTCAGTCGTGTTCGACTCTGTGCGACCACATAGACGGCAGCCAACCAGGCTCCTCTGTCCCTGGGATTCTCCAGGCAAGAACACTGGAGTGGGTTGCCATTTCCTTCTCCAATGCATGCATGTATGCTAAGTCGCTTCAGTCGTGTCCGACTCCATGGACAGTAGCGCACCAGGCTCCTCTGTCCGCAGGATTCTCCAGGCAAGAATACTGGAATGGGTTGCCATTTCCTTCTCCAGAACAGGGATCCTTAGTCCACTTTTATACCCATGGTACAAGAAGTGGGATAGAGGTCTTGCAGGTCATTTGCTGATTGGATGAGGCACATATTCTCTGTGGGGGAAGAGTAAGGCAAATACCTTCTTCTGTGTGCAGTAGGAGAGACAGGTTATACTGCTCAGGAGAACCTGAAATCTGTTAATAGTTACAACATGGGGGAGGGAAGGATGATAAGGATCTGGTTTTTCCATTCCTGCATTCCAAGACCTCCTTGGTTTTATCTACTTTTTCGTCCTTGGGTCACCACAGAGAGGGACTGGAATGGAGAGATACTTAGGCGGCAGAATCTTCAACATTAGTGACCCTCTTGGGAATAGAGCATCAGGAGGAGCTAGGCTGCATCCCAGAGTCCTGGCTCCTGCCTGCTTCTCCAGCCTCATTGTATTCCCCTTTCCACCCCCACCCCCATCCCTATTGGCTTTCCAGTTGCTGGTCTTCTTCTTTCCATTCTCTGAACATTCTGTGTTCCTCTTGGCCTTTGCACCTCTGCATAGTCTTCCTTTGCCCTTTGCATATGCACTTTTTTTTTTTCTACCTGGAGTCATCTTTACCATTACTCTGCCATTCCCCATCCTTTTGCCTATTAATTCTAATTTATGCTATAAAATTCTGCTCAAAATGTTATTTCCTCAAGGAATCCATCCCTTACCACACCCATCCCTAAACCAGGTCATGTCTCCCATATTATATACATGACTTAGTGACTGAACAACAACCATTCTGTACTTCTTCACAATTAGAACTAAATAATTACCTGTGGATTTAGTTGTTAAATATGTCTTCCCAGCTAGACTGTGTTATTGTTGTTGTTCAGTTGCTAAGTCATGTCTGACTCTTTGCAACCCCATGGACAGCAGCATGCCAGGCTTCCCTGTCCTTCACCATCTCCTGGAGTTTGCTCAAACTCATGTCTGTTGAGTCGGTGATGCCATCCAACCATCTCATCCTCTGTCTCCCCCTTTTCCTCCTGCCCTCAGTCTTTCCCAGCATCGGAGTCTTACAATGAGTTGGCTTTTCGCAACAGGTCCCCGAAGTTACATAAATACTGTAAACTCAGGGGTTGTTTGGTCTTTTTATAGATGTATCCTTGGGATCCAACATAGCAGATCTTAAATAGTTATTAGTTTAATGAATGAATTACTTTTAAGATACCTTTAGAAAGAGGAGAAATTAACATATTTATATGTTTTGGGTCTTTGAATTTCTTGTAGTCGCTTAGATAAGATATGTGCTGTCTTACACGTGGATTACCAGATTGAATCTGACCAGGGAGACCACATTTTGCATATTCTGTGCCATTTGTCCCTGTTAAGGGACATTTTTTTTTATCAGTTTGCAAATTTAGTATCATAGTAGCTGACCATATACAAGCAAAGGATGAAAATTGAGTTAGTAAAAAAAATTAAGGAACAGTACCCAGCATCATTCTGATTTTCCTAAGTTAGGAAAATGAAATTAGTGTTTGGGGAACACTATAATAGAAACAAAATGTGATTGTTAGGAGCATAGACTCTGAAGCCAGACTGCCTGGGTTCAAATCCTAGCTCTGCCACTTACAGGCTGTATAAAGTTAGGCAACTTAAATAATTTCTCTAAGCCTCAGTTTACCTACACAAAATGGGGGTAATGTAACTAAACATATAACATTGTGGTGAGGGTTAAATGATATAATGCTTATGAAAGAACACATGGTAAGTGCTCAGAAACTGTTAGTGACGAAAAATTATTTTCTTTTTAAAGCAAAAGAAGCAATTTGGATGTATTCAAGAAGTATATTAATTTGAGGGAAACTCTACAAATTTATTTTTCTTAGGTTTTAAAGCCTAAAATGTTTCAGAATTGAATTTGCAGTCATTTTAATTTCTGTTATCATGACTGTAATCATATAGTAAAATTGGGGCAAATTGCATAACTTCTGTGAGCCTATTCCTCATCTGTGAAATTATTATCTGATGAAATTATTAGTCGATTCTGTGTAAAATGCTCTCTTGTAAACTAAACTGTAAGCTCCACTGGCACAAATGTTGAAGTTTCTTCATTTAATAGGATTCAGTTTTGCAACTGGGACACCAGATAGAGTTTCATATGGAAGTGATATTTGAGCTAAGCCATGAAGAACATAGGATTTCCTTATTTGGGAAAGAAATTTTATTTATATTTTCCATAGTTATAAAACTGATTGATCCTTAACACTTTCTTGTTTAGTCCAAGGCTGGGTCCAGCCCATGCCCTGGATTCCCCAGCTGTGATACTGCTAAAGAAATGTTAAGTAAACAGTTACATTTCCATTTCCACTTATGCCACTATTTAGTTTAGAAGGCAGGGGAATAAGAAGTCTTTTAAGCCATGAGCCATTCCTGAATTTTTAACAATTTCTTGCTAATATTGATGTTTTCAGAGCTCTTGTTGCACATTTAAGCATGACATGTAAGCAAGACTGCTTATAAAGAACTCAGTTGTTAGGGGCCTATGAGACCATTTCAGCACACTTTTTGAATCTTGTCTAATTCCTAAATGGCACTTGGAGCATGTTGAAGGTAAGGAAAACGTGGTACACTTATAGGATAACATGCTTGTAGGGAGCTAACCTCATAGCAGGTGTTTATAGTTCAGCTTTTTTCCTGGAAGCTGAGATGTCAGAGCCATTGTGATATGTAATGAAGAAAGTGCTGCAGTACAATTTTATTCTAAAATTTCTAAACAGTGTAGAGGCCAGCTAGGGAAGGTGCCTCAGCCATAGAACAGTAAGTTGAAATTTGTTCAAATCTTTTTTTCTCAAGGCAGAGCTAGCTTTGTGACTTGGGGATGGGTTGGAGGGATGCAGTGCTTGTAAAACTAAACAAGAAGTCCTTGAAAGTATGTAGTGCATTCAGGCTCACTCATTGTTAAAGCACTTGAGACCCCAGCCACCACAATGGGCTTCTCATTGCAGTGGTTTCTCTTCTCGCAGAGCATGGGCTTTAGGGCGTGCGAGCTCAGTAGTTGTGACACGCAGGCTTAGTTGCCCCACTAAAATTTTAATTCCCGGGTCAGGGATCAAACCTGTGTTCCCTGCATTGGCAGGCAGATTCCTAACCACTGGACCACTAGGGAAGTCTCTTATTCAAGCTTCTTGATTAACCTTTTTGAGATTATGAAAAAAGGTATGAAATGTTCCCCCAGAAGAATGTACATACGTACAAACAAAAGTTTTCTTATTAGTTCTGGAGGTCCATAGACTCCAGGGTAAGGTCTCTTTTTCTAGATTTTGTGTTCCTTAAGAACTATACCTAGATTTCATTGACCTTTGACAGAGCCTGTTGTGTATGTGGGAGATACTCAGCAAATAGTTTCTGAACTGATGAACTGGAATGCAAAATGAAAATCTTCAAGTTTCTTACTAGAGAATCTCTAAACCTGTCTTCTTTGTTTCCTTAGGCTTCCATCTCAGTGGCACAGTAACTGAACCAGCCACTACTTCTGAACCAGCAGTGACTTATAAAGTTGCCATCAGTTTTGATCGATGCAAAATCACCTCAGTGACATGTGGCTGTGGGAACAAAGACATATTCTACTGTGCTCACGTGGTAGCACTCTCACTCTACAGGATCCGTAGACCAGATCAAGTCAAATTGCGTCTTCCTATCTCAGAAACCCTTTTCCAGATGAATAGGGACCAGCTACAAAAGTTTATTCAATATTTAATCACGGCACACCACACTGAAGTTCTTCCTACCGCACAGAAATTGGCAGATGAGATTCTGTCCTCCAACTCTGAAATCAACCAAGTAAATGGTAATTGTACAATATTTTTGTTGCTAAAAAAATCTATTTTGTTGCTTTATTGCATGTTTAGAGGTTGGGATACTTTTGCCATTGCAATCACTTATTCTATGCAATCGGTTTATTCTATCCAAACTATTTATTAACTCTGTTTATTAAAGCCATCCAGCTGTCCACCTCATAAAGTTTGGGCAAAAACGACAGAGAATGTTAGAGTTATAAATTAAACCAGTTTGTGGACCTCATGTGTCCATTTAATCCTTGCCTCTAGGAGCCTGGACTATTCAAGAGTGAAAGAAAACATAAAATAATTAATGTCATTCAGTGAAATGAAATGGATATCAGAATTCCTTAACATTTCAGGATGCTGCATAGCACCATGGTTATTCTAAAGAATGTCTGTTTGCATTGTGTTTATGAGCTATATAATGGGTGGAGAGAGATACGATGTTCACTTATTCATTCAAGAAATGTATGTTGAATACCTGCTCTGTGCATGTGATAGTGCTGATTGTTGACGGCATAAAACAGACATGGTTCCTGTCTTCAAATATCTTACAATATAATAGAAAAGACAGCTAAGTCTGAAATAAATGCTTGCTTTTGTTATGAAACAAGGTTGTAGATAATCATAGGAAACTGTTGAAGAATTTTGAGAAGAGGAGCTATATGAGCCAATTTTTTCATTTTGTTGGTTGGGTCCTACTATGTTCCAGGCATCATACATGAGAACCTTATGTATGTTTATATATGTTAATTCATTTAGTTTTCAAAACTACCCTGTGAGGTAGATATTATAACCATTTTGTAAATAAGGAAATTATTTATAACCGAGGCTCACCTGACTTCAGAACTCAAGTTTTTTATACCTCTCTATACTTCCTTTCTATTTTTAGAATATAACTTTGGTATTAGTGTGATCAAGGCAGTGAGACTAGGTTGGCCTGTATAATATTATGGTCTATGTGCTAAAGGGCCTGGCTTTCCCAGTTGCCCAAGAGAACTAATCAAGTCCTACATACAACCTCACCACTTCTCAGAAATAAAGGTAGTCAGACAAGCTTCCAGGAACTCTTGCTGACTAGCAGAAATAATCTTCTGTTGCTTTATGCTCAAAATTGTAGTGTTTACATGATGCATGCATGCATGTTAAGTCACTTCAGTCGTGTACGACTCTGCAGCCCTATGAATTATAGTCCGCCAGGCTCCTCTGTGGGATTCTCCAGGCAAAAATACTGGAGTGGATTGCCATGCCCTCCTCCAAGGATCTCTTCCCAACCCAGGGATCGAACCTGTATCTCTTATGTTTCGTGCAGGAGGGTTCTTTACCACTAGCGCCACCTGGGAAGCCCACTTACGTGGTAACTGAGCTCTATTTGAGAGATACTGTTAAAGAGTAGCTTTCTAAAGGGGCTTCCCTGGTGGTTCAGTGGTAAAGAATCACCTGCCAATGCCTCAGTGGTAAAGATTCTGCCTGCCAATGCCAGAGTCACAGGTTCCATCCCTGATCCAGGAAGATCCCACATGCCTGAAGCATCTAAGCCCATGTGCCGCAACTGTTGAGCCTGCGCTCTAGAGGGAGCCGCAACTACTGAAGCCCCTGCTCCACAAGTCCACACACCGAAACCATAGAGTAGCTCCCACTTGCCCCAGCTAGAGAAAAGCCCATACAGCAATGAAGACCCAGCACAGCCAGAAATAAATTTAATAAATAAATAAAAATAAAATTATAAAACTCTAGTTCCTCTTCACTTTCTGCCATAAGGGTGCTGTCATCTGCATATCTGAGGTTATTGATATTTCTTCTGGCAATTTTGATTCCAGCTTGTGCTTCATCCAGCCTGGCATTTCACATGAGATACTCTATATATAAGTTAAATTAGCAGAGTGACAATATACAGCCTTGATGTACTCCTTTCCTGATTTTGAACCAGTCCACTGTTCCATGTCCAGTTCTAACTGTTGCTTCTTGACCTGTTGCTACAGGTTTCTCAGGAACCATGTAAGGTGGTCTGGTATTCCCATCTCTTTAAGAATTTTCCACAGTTTATTGTGATCCCCACAGTCAAAGGCTTTTGCATAGTCAATGAAGCAGAAGTAGATGTTTTTCTGAAATTCCCTTGCTTTTTCTATGATCCAGGGTACTATGCTAAGTCTCTTCAGTCGTGTCCAACTTTTTGCGACCCCATGGACTGTAACCTGCCAGGTTCCTCTGTCCATGGCACTCTCAAGGCATGAATATTGGCGTGGTTTGCCATTTCCTTCTCCATGGGATCTTCCTGATTCAGGGATCTAGCCAGTATCTCTTACATCTCCTGCATTAGCAGGCGGGTTCTTTACCACTAGCGCCACCTGGGAAGCCCTTCTATGATCAGAAAGATGCTAGCAATTTGATCTCTGCTTTCTCTCCCTTTTCTAAATCCAGCTTGTACATCTGGAATTTCTCAGTTCACGTACTGTTGAAGCCCAGCTTGAAGGATTTTGAGCATTACCTTGTTAGCGTGTGAAATGAATGCAAGTGAAATGAGTGCAGTGTAGTTTGAACATTCTTTGGCATTGCCCTTCATTGGAATTGGAATGAAAACTGACCTTTTCCAGTCCTGTCCTATAGCCACTGCAGGGATATGTATAAAAAGTACTTAGACACTGTCATGTAGGAAGCACTCAATAAATGGCTGTTTTTAACAAATATTGAAGGATGAAAGGTGTATATTTGTTTTTCTTTGCCACTTTCAGTTTACAGAAGTAGTATAGGATATATTATTTACCCACCTGGGTTTTAAATCTAGATGGTCAATAGGACATGCATTTGTTCATTCTATAAATATTAATTCAATGCTATAATGATCCAGGCACTGTGAGGTACAAAAATGAATCCCTACTCTACTCTTTAAAAGCTTCAATGTAGTTGGGAGTATATGAGACAAGCCCAATTCTAATGTAAAACAAAATGCAACAGGTCTTTAAGAGAAGTAATAATAAAGTACTAAGAAGAGAGTTACTACATTACTATCATGCATATGAGTATGAAGGGCATACTTTTGACAGGTGAGGTGTATGGGGTATCCCCTCCTGCCTCAGGAGGGATATCCCCCAGGTAAACTAAGAGGGATGTGAATTTCGGCAGTGTTAGTCTCTCTGTATACTTATTTTATGGGTTTCCTTTCTCAGTGCAGCCCTGACTATAGAACTGAGGCAGTACTGACAATGAGAAGTAATGCTTTTTGGCCGAAGAACAGGTTGTGGGGAAAGGAAGGGAAGTAAAGGGAAAAGCATTAAGTAAAGTCATCAGGAAATGTCATTGACTTCTGGGTACACTAAGTTTCTAGTTGAAACATAGCATCAGTATAGGAAAGACAAGGCTAGAAATGAAAGAGCCTGAACAGGGAGGGCCCTAAATGCTAAGCTAAGTTCAGACTTCATTTATAAAGAATAGTTTATCACTGAAGACTTCTGAGCAGGGAAGGGATATGATCAGAACTGTGTTGAGAATAACACATTTGAAGAAAAGTAGCGTATAGCAGATTCCATAAACTGGTTGCTCCTAATGTTAATTAGTATTTGTAGAATAAATATGAGTCCTCCTGATTTCCTGGATGATAAGATGCACTGAAAAAGCATGGCAGAAGAGCACCATTCTCTGCAGACCTGGATTACATTTAAACGAGGCTTTCACATAGGAGGACAAGAAGAAAGGTAGATTGACCGATGAAACATGACATGAATTTGTAACCGATTGCGCAGCCACACATAGAGAGTATAGACTTATACTATAAGACTATGTTGACTTACAGTCTTTTGTCACTTGGAGACAGGGTTCTAAAAACTTATCACAGGACTCAGTCTTTGAGAAAGTGAGAGAAGAAGATTCAGCTTTCATTCCACAAATATTTCTTAGGTGCCTGTCACATTACCAGAACTGAGTTATAGATGATTCAACTGTGAGCAAGGAGCTAACAGGCTACTCGGGGAGAGGGATGTGTAAATAACTAACACTGTGTTTTAAGTGATGTCATTGAGGTGAGCCCAGGAAGGAAAGATATTCTGAGTGTAAATTTATAAAATCATATCATCCTATATATAATCCTGCCTGTGCTTTAGGTACCAAGTTTCCAGAAATTTAGAATTGTTGACTCCATTTGAGAAGCTACAATTTTTTTAGTGAATTTTAAAAAGAGAAATTTTTATTTTCTAAGAAAGTATTTTTTTAATTTTAAAATAATATGTGTGTTTTAAGGCTTATTTTAAACTTCAAAGAAAAACAAAATAGAAGAAAAATTACATTCTCCTAGGGGAAAAAAATACATCACTATTTTCGTGTGTGTGCTTTTTTACCCCAGGATGATATTTATAGACCTTGGGAGAGGATACAACTAAGACTTTAGTGAACATGAAACTAGCTCTACTCTCTTAGGTTTATTGAGAACCACACAATTGACAAAGCCCAGATTAAGGCAGAATGCCCATCTGTTTCTGAATATACTCACATAGGGCTGCTCCTGCTGAGTGTGGAGTGTAGGAACTCAGGAGATTCATTTCATCATCCTATTCCTCACAGGTGCTCCTGACCCCACAGCTGGGGCCAGCATTGATGATGAGAACTGTTGGCATTTGGATGAAGAACAGGTGAAAGAACAAGTGAAGCTCTTTCTCTCCCAGGGTGGTTACTATGGCTCTGGAAAGCAACTCAATTCAATGTTTGCCAAGGTAAGCCATGAAAAGATTTTTTTTTTTTCCCTTAAGTAAACTGGGCTCACCACACTTCTGGCTTCATGCATTGTAGCTAGCCCACTTGACCTACCTGTACTGAATGCTTGAAAACTACTTGAGGGGAGGGGAGCTGAGCAGAGCAGTCCAGAGCAGGTTGCATCCACGGAGCTCTACTGCCTCACCCTGGTCATCCTCTTCCTCTTGCTCCACACTCTAAATGAGTTTGCATTCCTGGGGAATTAGTAATGAAGCTACCTCCCCCTGCCTTGAACCAAAGGCTGCCCAATGAGGGCTTAAAGAAACTTAATATTTTGTTGTTTTAAAATATTAACTTACTTATTTAGCTGTGCCAGGTCTTAGTTGTGGCATTTGGGATCTAGTTCTCTGACCAAGGGTTGAACCCTGGCCCCTTGCATTGGGAATGCTGAGTATTAGCCACTGAGAAGTCCCAGAAACTTAGTATTTTGGAACTGGGGGTTCTCACAGCAGGCTTTCTTTCTTTTCTTTCTTAACACATTTGGTGAAATATAGTTCACATATCATAAAATTCACCCATTTAAAAAATTGTACAATTCAGTGGTTTTTAGTATATTGACAGATATGTACAGCTATCACTGCAGTCAACTTTAGAACATTTTCATTATCTTAAAAAGAAGCCCCATTCCCTTTACCTATCACTCTGCTGTTCCCTATACCCCTCTTCCCCCAGCCCTAAGCGACCACTAATGTACTTTCTGTCTTTATAGATTTCCCTATTCTTGACTTTCCTAGGAATGGAATCCTATAGTCTTTTGTGACTGGCTTTTTTCTCCTGGCATAGTATTTTAAAATATTTAAAAACATACATACATGTTGTAGCATGTGTCAGTACTTCATTCCTTTTTATAGCCAAATAATATTCCATTGTATGGATACCACACATTTCATTTATCTGTTTGTCTGTTGATGGGCATTTGGATTGTTTCCACCTTTAAGCTGTTATAAATAAAGCTCCTATAAACATTCTTGTACAGTGTTTCTGTGTGGACATATATATTTTCATTTCTCTCTAGGAATGGAATTAGTAGGTCATATGGTAGCTCTATGTTTAATCATTTGAGGAATTTCTAGACTGATTTCCAAAGTGGCTGCATCATTCTACAATCCCCCTAAACAGTGTATGAGAGTTCTGATTTCTCTATATCCTTGCCAACACTTACTATCTGGCTTTTTTATTCTAGCCATCCTTGTGAGTATGAAGTGGTATCTCATTGCACACAGCAGGCTCTCTTGATACATGCGGAGAACTTGCTTATAGAAGAGGCCTTCTTTTTGGCTCCTTGAATATGCTGTGCTTAGATACTTCATCTTCTCCTCCCCCCTCCTCCCCTTCATTCTCCTCCTACTTTGTTATGATGTACAGTCACCAGCCACCTGTCCCTCCTGTGTGTCAGGTTCGAGAGATGCTGCGGATGAGAGATTCCAATGGAGCCAGGATGCTGACGCTAATAACTGAACAGTTTATGGCTGACCCACGGCTCACACTGTGGAGGCAACAAGGAACAAGCATGACAGATAAGTGCAGGCAGCTCTGGGATGAGCTAGGTAAGTCCCCATATCTCAGAGAAGTGCTGTGTCTATCCTATGAGCTTGTCCCCAGCAATAGTGTTAGTGAATATTTGTCATTAGTCATTACATAGATCTTGCTAAGTGAACTTTAGCCCAAAATGGTGGAAGATTTAGGTTCTACAGAGGCCACCCAGAGTCATTTTGAACTCACTTGTGTTTCTTCCACAGCCTTATGTTTTGCTACTGACACCAGCATTCTATTTCAGATATTACCACACAGAAGCCTTTAGTGAGAGAAAACCTTTTGCCTTGACTTCTGTCTCATGGCATTAGCTTGGCTCTCCAAATACTTACTATTCTCACTTTTCTCACATTCCCTGGATCTGCTTTTGTTTATCATTTCCAGCAAACCTCTAAGCCATAAGACCATTTCTAAGTCTTGAACCCTGGACTTCTATTTTTCTTTCTCTATTCCTCTTTGTTCAGTTCAGTTCAGTTGCTCAGTAATGTCCAACTCTGCAACCCCATGGACTGCAGCACACCAGTCCTCCTTGTCCATCACCAACTCCCGGAGCTTGCTCAAACTCATGTCCATTGAGTCAGTGATGCCATCCAACCATCTCATCCTCTGTTGGCCCCTTCTCCACCCACCTTCAATCTTTCCCAGCATCAGGATCTTTTCAGTTCTTCACATTAGGTGGCCAAAGTATTGGAGTTTCAGCTTCAATTTCAGTCCTTCCAATGAATATTCAGGACTGATTTCCTTTAGGGTAGACTGGTTGGATCTCCTTGCAGTCCAAGGAACCCTCAAGAGTCTTCTTCAACACCACAGTTCAAAAGTATCAATTCTTCAGCGCTCAGCTTTCGCCAACTCTCACATCCATACATGACTACTGGAAAAGCCATAGCTTTGACTAGACTAGACAGACCTTTGTTGACAAACTAATGTCTCTGCTTTTTAATATGCTGTCTAGGTTGGTCATAGCCTTTCTTCCAAGGAGCAAGTGTCTTTTAATTTCATGGCTGCAGTCACCATCTGCAGTGATTTTGGAGCCCCCCAAAAAATAAAGTCTGTCACTGTTTCCATTGTTTCCCCATCTAGTTGCCATGAAGTAATGGGACCAGATGCCATGATCTTAGTTTTCTGAATGTTGAGCTTTAAGCCAACTTTTTAACTCTCCTCTTTCACTTTCATCAAGAGGCTCTTTAGTTCTTCTTCGCTTTCTGTCATAAGGTGGTGTCATCTGCTTATCTGAGGTTATTGATATTTCTTCCGGCAGTCTCGATTCCAGCTATGCTTCATCCAGCCCAGCATTTCTCATGATGTACTCTGCATACAAGTTAAATAAGCAGGGTGACAATATACAGCCTTGACATACTCCTTTCCCAATTTGGAACCGGTCTGTTGTTCCATGTCTAACTGTTGCTTCTTGACCTGTATACAGATTTTTCAAGAAGCAGGTCAGGTGGTCTGGTGTTCCCATCTCTTTCAGAATTTTCCACAGCTTGTTGTGATCCACACAGTCAAAGGCTCTGGTGTAATCAATAAAGCAGAAGTAGATTTTTTTCTGAAACTTTCTTGCTTTTTCTATGATCCAGTGGATGTTGGCAATTTTATCTCTGGTTCCTCTGCCTTTTCTTTTTTTTTTTTTCCCTCTGCCTTTTCTAAATCCAGCTTGAACATCTGGAAGTTCATGGTTCATGTACTGTTGAAGTCTGGCTTGGAGAATTTTGAGCATTACTTTGCTAGCATGTGAGATGAGTGCAAATGTGTGGTAGTTTGAACATTCTTTGGCATTGCCTTTCTTTGGGATTGGAATGAAAACTGACCTTTTCCAGGCCTTTGAGAACTTTTTTTTTAGTATCATGACCTCAGTGTTACCTCTGTGGTGATCTCTTACTCATCCTCTTTCGATTATCTCATTTCCAGTCTCGTATTAGCTGCTGCCCTATGACCATTTCTACTGAAAAAAAAATCTCCTAATCACCTCAAACTCGAGAAATTCAAAAATGAAATCAGGCCTTCTATGAAGAAAGATTCCCTTGAAGCTGGCATTGGCACCACCATTTCTTGTTTGAGGAAACTTACTGTCAAGCACTCATTTTTGTTTCATTTGCTACATCCAGTCACCAATATAATTTGATTCCTTGACCTTTAAAATGCAATTTAGTGTCCATTCACACTTTTTATTTCTTGTTATAACTGGTCTGGTTGAGGGCCGTGGGATTTTTAGATTAAATTAGACCTGTGGCCTCCTGAATGGGCTCTTTGTTCAAGATTCTTGTCATTAAGGCCATCTTCTTTAGTCATTATTTATCTTCATTGTTCCCATTTCAATGACAGTTTTGCAGTGGTGATACTCAACTCCCCGCCCTGTTTGCAGAATCCTTCATACTCTGAATTTACAATCCAGTCACGGCCCCACTTTGGGGTTATACTAGGAAAGTTGTCTGTGGCATATTCTGAAATTTCTAATATAGCTTCTCCGTACTTTCTCCACCCCAGAAAGCAATGACAAACTTTCCTATTGTACAGAATAGCACCAAAAAACCTCTATAGCTTAGGATTTTAGTGAATTCCCCAAAGGATATATTAATACATTATAGTCTTAGAGCTAAAAGCTTTGGGGAATGAGGCTTAATGATTCGGACTTTACGTGGTTACTTTGGGGCTGGTAAGTGTGGAGTTTTGGTTTGAGTGCTGGGGCTTCATATCACCTGAGGCACTATAGCTTTGGAGTTTTCATTAATAATGAACAGCTACATTATTGAGCATTATGTTCCAGTCTCTGTGTTAAAGACTGTATGCATGTTTAATTCTCATAACAAACCTATGAAGTAATTGTGTGTTTATTGCAAAGAAACAGAGACACCTCTGGTTACTTCTGGATACAGAATGAAATAAAGAAGTATAGAAAACTGTCTCTCTGACACAATCACATTTTCCAAAGTACAGGAATGTTGAACTATTAATCTGAAGTTACTGGTCCAACCAGTTGTGACCAGGGTCATGTAACACAGTGCATGGCAACTTGGAAAGAGCTTCCCTCAGAAGGGATTGTAGGCATGGACCCTTCAAGGGTAAGACATCAGCATCTCCGTATGTTTAGGTGAGAAAAATGGAGCTCAGAAAGTTTTTTGTTCAGAGTCACACACTAGCAGGTGGTGGCTCTAACACTGGAGCCCCAACCTCTCCAACTCCAAATCAAGCATCCTTGTGCAACATCTCCCTCAATCTCATCTCGTTATGTACTGTTTTCCCCAAAAGTGCATGTTTTTTAAGAATTTGAAATTAGCCTTCAGAGCATCAGTCTTTACATATTTTCTCTTTTTTCCTTCAGAACAACACTTCTTGAAAACCTCGTCCCTCTTTGCATTTGCTTACCTCCATATGCTGTCTTGAGCCCACTGCAGTCTTCCATTGCTCATTGCTGTCACTCTACTGATAAGTAGCTCTGGTTAAAACCACCAGTGTCTGCCATATTGCTCTTCTCTTTTGTTACTTTACTTGACCTCTTAGCAGTTTCAAATAAAATTGACCATACCCTATCTCTACATTAATTTTACAAGAACCAGCAAACAGTATAACACAGACACCATAGGAGAAGAACTACTTTGTGAAGAAAACAATTTTTTTCATGAGGTTTATACAGGCCTTTAGGATTCTTAAATTCTAAAAGTTGAGAAAGTAACTTTTATGATCTAAATATTTGTGCATCTTTCTTACTGCCACACTGTTCAAGATTTTTTACCTCCTGTATATTAAGGATTTCTTGCCACCTGGTGTTCAGAAAGGACACTTTTATCAATAGGAACTCACAATCCCAATAGTATTAAAAGCTGACATCCTAGATTACAAAAATTTTCTACCAAAAGGAAAAAACATCCAATAGACTGCAAATATTCAGAGACTACAATGACGTCTCAGCATTTTTGCTTTCACTTATGTCCTTCCCCCTGTTTTGGTACATACTCTCCTGCCATTTCTGTGCTTAAACAACTCCTATTTATCTCTTGTTCTTCTTTTAAAATGAAGTAATACATGTACACAGGTTAAAATGTCAAATGGTTCTACAGACTTTATAATAAAAAGCAGTATTGCTCTGCCATATTCCTTCACATTATCAGTTCCTACTTCTTAGAAAGAGCAATTTTTAATTCTTTTAGCTGCTTTTTCTAATATGCTTCCACATTTCTAAATGACTGTTCTTTCTTAATTTTTAAAATTATAGATGTTCTCTTTTTCTTCCTACAATGAAAGATGAGGATTTACCTCTCATAAGGTCACACTCTTAGGGTTCTTTCCCAAACACCGTTTCTCATTCTTTTCAATGTGCATAGGCTGAGAATGTTCCAGATCTTTAAGTTTTACTTCTTTTTTGATGAACAGTTCTGTCTTTAAATCATTTCTTTCTTCTTGCATTTTATGCTAAGGAATGAGGCTGCTCCTTCAACACTTTGCTTAGGTATTTCCTCAGCTAATCTTATTACTCACAAGTTCTACCTTCCACAAAACACTAGGACATGAACACAATGTCTCAATTATAAGACCACCACAGTCTACTCAGAACCAATCGGGGAAAGAGGACTGCATGGTGCAGTTGGGGGTGTTCATTTGTTCCATATGTATATTTTTCTTAATCCCTCAGTTTTTAGTCTGGAAAACCTACCCTCAGCTTTGTGTAGTATTCCCAATCCAGAGCTTCTGTGAATCAGTCTTTCCAGTGAGTAAAGCTCTGGTTTTCTTCCAGGAGAGGGAGTGAGCAGGTAATGAACTACCTTGAACATTTATGCCTGTTTTTATCTCTCCACTTTTGTTTTAATAAAGTATCAAGAGGGAGTGGTGATAAACATACATGTTTAGTTAGCCACTTTTAACTAGAATTAACTCATGTTTATTCTTTAAGGACAAACGCAAATGTTGTAACCTTTCCTGACCCCATGTACAGAGTTAATTGTTCCATCATACCTAATCTCATAACACTTTTTATATGGCTATAATAGTATCTACTGTGCTTTATTATAATTATTATTATATGTGTATGTGTGTGCTCAGTCACTCAGTAGTGTCTAACTCTTTGTGAGCCTATGGATTGTAGCCCACCAGGCTCCTCTGTCCACAGGATTTTCCATGTGAGAAGACTGGAGTGTGTTGTCATTTCCTTCTCCAGGGGATCTTCCCAACTCAGGGATCAAACCTGCCTCTCCTTTTTCTCCTGCATTGGGAGGTGGAGTCTTTACCACTGAGCCACCTGGGTTACAATTATTATAAGTTAGGAGTCACTCAATTTGACTCCTAACTATAATCCTCTTAAGAGCCATCATTATGTAATATTTAATACTACAATATTATATAGTATAGTTTCTTTTTCATTGTGGATTTGAAAAACTTATTTGAACCTATAGAAATGAATTTTTATCTTCTAGTTAGTACCTGAAATTGAGGCTTAAATGGTCTTTTAAAACATTCTTATTTGACTTTAAGGGGTCTTGAAATAGTGTGTGAATATCCCTCCATCCATAGATGTAGCTCCATCCCAAACGATGTTTAACTTAAGACACTCTGCAGCCAGGTTTTATTGTTAACTTGGGATTGAGAATATTTCTGGCTCAGCCACATAACCAGCTTTGAAAAGAGGAAGCAGGTTTGCTTCAAAGGAAGGGTAATGTGACCAAAGAAATAGTACTTACTGGTAATGTAGAATATGTGATACTCTGCTATAGTGACAGAGAAGATCCAAGAATATGATAGTTTTAAGGCATCATAGCTGATCAACAGTATCAAAATCCAAGTCCAAATAAATTATTTTCCCTGGAAGAAGGAAATATAATTCCACTACATGCCAAGTAATATGCCAGGCTCTCTACATTATGATCTGTTTTACAGTTGAGGGATTTAAAGCTCAGAAAGCCCAAGATCAACTAACCAAAAATTAAATCCTTTTCTGAGCACCTTCCTTCTTAGAGTAAATGTTCTTGCTCTGTGCTATAATCATACCCTGAACATACCTTTATCTTAACGCTTATCATATTCAAGTGATACTGTGTTTATTTTTCTGTCTTCCCCTACTGGAGAGCTCCTCAAGGATAGGAACAGTGTCTTATTCTCCAATACAAACTCTTGAACAAGAAAGTTCTCAATAAATGTTTGTTGGACTGCAGATTTGAGCTCAGAATTCAAGTCCAAATCTATGTTGTTCATCAAACACAGGCACATACCCAGATATCAAGATAGCTACTCTGCTTTAAGAAACCTTTGGGAAGGAAAAATAAGCATTTCTGAAATCTTTAGCAGATTTGGTTTTTTATATTGAGAATTGATGTTTTGGAAACTTTTCCTACCAACTAAAAATAGAAGAAAAGAGTAAACTGAAAAATTAAGGCTTAGACATACATCAAAGGAAAAATGTCAAGGATGTGGTTGCTTTCTTTTCCAGGGGCCTTATGGGTGTGCATAATTTTAAATCCACATTGCAAGCTGGAAGAAAAATCCTGTTGGCTGCAGCAACTGCAGAAATGGAATGACCTGGACGTCTGTCCCCTGGAGGATGGGAACTATGGGCATGAGCTGCCCAACATCACCAATGCACTTCCCCAGAATGCCAGTCACAGTTCAGGTAAGCCAGTTGTCATTCTAGAGTCTCGGTGCCTGGAACTCCAGAAGATCAGAGGTTAAAGCCCTAAAACGAAGGTGGCTGGACAACTTTTGGACTGTCAGAATTGTCATCCTAAATAAGAAAAGCCTGTCCTTTGTTTATCTTGAAATGCTAAACCTTAAATAAGGGCAAGCTTTTTATCTTTGACACTGGGGATGCTGTCCTTTTCTACTCTAGGTGTGTCCTTACAGTGCCCAGCATAAATTCCTAGAACCCTCTGCATGAATCCTCTTTACCCTTCAAGTTCTTCATGACTCATGGATCTTGGCCCCCAATGGGGTTGGTTTTATCTCAGAAGACTTAGCTCAAGGGAAAGATGGAATACCTGCAGGGGGGAAAAAAAAAAAAACTTAAAAAAATGTCCTGACAGCTGCTTTGATTACTTTTCTCTGTTTTCCTCAAATTTTTATATAGCAGATATCTGATGGGAGGAGGCAGGGGCCATGCTTCCAAGATACTACTTACTCTTGCCCCATTTTAAGATAAATTCAGTACAGTGATACTGTACCCTCTGCCTTTTGAGCCCACTGACCAGATATTACTGGGCATCAGCATCACATCAGCTTTAGTTCATCTAACTCAGGCCATGTCCTGCTAGCAATTGATTGCTCTTTAGCCCATGGGGATCCTTTACTGGTGAAAAGTGAAAGTGAAGTCACTCAGTCGTGTCCGACTCTTTGCGACCCGGTGAACTGTAGCCCACCAGGCTCCTCCATCCATGGGATTCTCCAGGCAAGAATACTGGAGTGGGTTGCCATTTCCTTCTCCAGGGGATCTTCTGGACCCTGGGATAGAACCCGGGCCTCCCTCATTGCAGGCAGACGCTTTAACCTCTGAGCCACCAGGAAAGTGGTAGATTTTATCAAACATTGATTTTATATGTCTTCCCTTTTATTGTAAATGATAAATCTACTGATATTTTTAACCTCAAGGAGGAAATCACTTAAATTATTGTTCTTGCTTGGTCTTCATCTACTGTTCCATAATTGATTATCAGTGTATTTAAGGCAACCAAGGTAATGAGAGATGAAAAGGCTACAACTTCGCCACATGAAGCTTCCCTTTCCTGGGTAGCTCATCTAACCTCCACAACATAGGAATTCATGCTTTTAGTATTGGCTTTGGATTGGCATAGAGATAATCAAATGCTGCATATAAACACATGCCTCCAGTCTGGCAGTTTCTTTCTTGTATATTATTTTGTATATTATATTATTTTGGTTATTTGTTGTTACTCTTCCGCCGCCCCCCCCCCCTTTTTTTGCAGTGCTGGGTCTTCATTGCTGCACATAGGCATTATCCAGTTGTGGTGAGCAGGGACACCTGTGCAGGCTTCTCATTATGGTGGCTTCTCTTGTTCCAAAACACTTGTTACTGGTTCTTATTTGAGGGTATTGTTTTCTGTTCAGTTTTCTCAGGCCATGACTGACTTATCACTCATGTAAGTTTACCTTTGGGCCTGATGGAGCAGTAGGCATCCTGCTTACTCTTCATTGCCATTTCTACATCATTATCCTACCCTCCTTCCTAAAATACCCCACAGTTATATCACACAGTTTTAAAGTTGATGCTGTTAAAATATGCTGTCTGCTACGCTCCTGGTTTTGGTCGTTTTTACCTCTGGGTTAATACCCCTCATTCCTTGAAGAGTTTTGGCAGTTGGCTCACTAACACTACTCTCTGTCCCTACTTCTGTTGTAATTCTTAATCATTTAATATAGCCACATAGATGATACTTCCAGTATTCAAGCCTCTGAGTTCTTTGACCTCCTCTCTTTTAATAGTCCATCTTTTGTGTATGTGTGTTAATTTTTGGCTATGCCTTCTCTTCATTGCCATGTGCGGGCTTTCTCTAGTTGTGATGAGTGGAGGCTGCTCTCTAGTTGCAGTGCACAGGCTTCACACTGTGATGGCTTCTCTTGTTGTAGAGCATCCACTCTTGGGTTCTTGGGCTTCAGTAGTTGTAGTGCACAAGCTTAGCTGCTCTGAGGCATGTGGGGTCTTCCCCAGCCAGGCATCAAACTCATATCCCCTGCATTGGCAAGTGGTTTCTTAACCACTGTACCACCAGGGAAGTACCAATAGTCTATCTTCTACATAACTTAGCCATGCAACCCCAAGGTCATACCCTGAACCCTTTCATTACCAATATACTGACCCTTCTTTACAATCACAATTTCAAGCAGCTCTAATTACCACCACCAGCCTTACTAGATTATTTTCTCTGTTATGCCTATTCCACTAATTCCTGGACCCACTAGGAATTTTAATCCTGTCACTTTTTCATTCTTGTGGCAGCCTCATTTTCCTCCTTATCCAGGTTAGATTCCTTGGTACATCATTATAATCACTACCCTGCAAACATACTCTCTTGGTTCTCCTCGTCATTGGATCCTCCTTCTCAGTCTCCTTTACTGTCTCCCCACCACTTTCCAACCTAAAATTCTAGAGTACCCAGGGCTCAGTCATCAAACCACTTCTTTTTCTGTATTCACTCCCCTGATAATTGCATTGTTTTAATAATCATCTATACACTGACAACATTCAGATTTATATCTCCTGCCCAAACTTTTCCTCTCAACTCCAGACTTACATGTTTAACTACCTTTTCGATATTGCCTCTTAGATATTAATAGACATCTCAGTAGGATTTCTTACCTCTCAAGCCCCACCCAAACCTGTTCCTCTTGTGTAGTCTTCCCTATCTTCTTATATGGCAAGTCTACCTTAAAAACCTTAAAGTCATTCTTGATTCTTTTCTTTCTTACCCAGATTTCCCAGATCTAATCCATGGGCAAATCCTATTACCTTTGCCTTTAGAACATATCCAAAGTTCATTTACTCTCATCGCCTCTACTGCATATTACTCTGAACAAATTACCATTATCTTTCCCAAATTATTGCAGTGACCTCCTAACTGCTTCTACCTTAAAGTCTGTTCTCTATGCTGCTGCCAGTTGTCAAGTCAGATCACACACCTTTAACAGCTCAAAGCCCTCCAGTAGCTTCTCATCTTTCCTCATGGCCTAAAAGGCCCTGCATGATCTGATTCCCTAGTATCTCTCTGACCTCATCTCCTGTGACTTTCTGGCTTGCTCATTCTGTTCTAGGTACACTGGCCTCTGCCCTGCCCTCAAACACTTCAAATATGTTCCCACCTCAGCTTAGCACTTGCTGTTCATTTTGCCTAGAACGTACTTTCCTTAATTATGTCTGAGGCTTGATCTTTAGTTCCTTCAGGTCTCTGTTCATATGTTCCCTTATTAAAGCCCATGTGGCTCAGATGGTGAAGAATCTGCCTGAAATCCAGGAGACCCAGGTTCGATCCCTAGGTCAGGAAGATCCCCTGGAGAAGGAAATGGCAACCGACTCCAGTATTTTGTCGTTGCTCAGCCGCTCAGTCATGTCCAACTCTTTGCGACCCCATGGACTGCAGCATGCCAGGCTTCCCTGTCCTTCACCATCTGCAGCTTGCTCCAACTCATGTCCATTGAGTCGGTGATGCCATCTGACCATCTCGTCCTCTGTTGTCCCATTCTTCTCCTGCCTTCAGTCTTTCCCAGCATCAAGGTCTTTGCTAATGAGTCAGCTCCTACACACCACCCTAAAGAATTGAGCTTACTTTGTCTGTTGTTTCCCTTCAGCCCTTTTCCTGAAGAGAGATGGTTTGGTAGAACTCCAGTGAGAAAACAATTTAATTAATCTTTTGTCAGCCTCAGGTTTTCTTATTGGAGAACAAGGTTGTAACCCTGCAGATACTAGTGTGATAAAGATACCAGAGGGCTTACCCTGGTGGCTCAGTGGTGGGGAATCCACCTGCCAATGCAGGGGACACTGGTTCAATCCCTGATCCAGAAAGATCCCACATGCCGCAGAGCAGCTAAGCCTGTGCGCCACACTACTGAGCCTGTTCTCTAGAGCCCAAGAGCCACAACTACTGAGCCCCTGTGCTGTGACTAATGAAGTGCGAGTGCCTAGAGCCTGTGCTCCACAATAAGAGAAGCCACCACAATGAGAAGCCTGCTCACCACAGCTAGAGAGTACCCTCTGCTTGCCACAACCAGAGAAAAGCCCACACAGCAATGAAGATCCAGCACAGCCAAAAGAAAATGAATAAAGAAATAAACTTATTTTAAAAATTAAAGATACCAGAATACACAGGACTGCAGCTCTTTTTCAGCTTTTATATCAATGTGAAGAAGTACTTAGTCTGATATGGGTCATACTGTAAAAGAAACTGGTTATGGGTTGACCAAGGATATTACCTCACTGCTTATCTTTTCCTTTGTCCTCTGTAGAAGCAGTTTGAGTCCTTATAATTGAGCGGCCGAGCATCACTATCCCTCCTCTCTCATGTAGCTCTGGTCCTAGGAGAAATTGGTCTTCGGTCATAGATCTATGTAGAAATGTTCTTCCCATAGAGGGCAGGGACACACTAAAAGCTATCCAATAAAGAAGCAACACAATGAACACCCAGACAAATGGCAGAGTGGCTGCTCTCACTAACTATACACTATTATTCTGCCTGTCCTCCCATCCTAAAGAAGACACAGGAGTTAGATCTTCAGATTACCCATCACTGAACTGCTGCTTTCTTTTTCCCTTCCCCAGATTCTTTATCCAGACCAAGACGGACAGTGTTCACTAGAGCCATCGAGGGCCGTGAATTGCATTGGCAGGACAGCCACTTACAGCGAATCATCAGCAGTGATGTATATACAGCTCCTGCCTGCCAGCGGGAAAGTGAGAGGCTACTCTTTAATTCCCAAGGCCAGCCACTGTGGCTTGGTAAGTGTACTTATTCTACTCTAAGAATTTTAGAGCCCAGTCTCACCTCATGTCAGGCCTGAGTGAGCCATCTACATAGGTACCAGCAACACAACCACCCTTTGGACAGTCTTCATCCAGATCTTTTGGGGCCCTGACTAGGGCCTCAGGGTATAGCCTGAGCCATTTGTATATGTTCTGAGCTGAAGTACAGTAATCTCAAACAGAGGGATTTCTATTGTTTCCTGAGTTTGGGGAGGGAAAAGGAGCTAATAAATCTGAAGGAGTACTAACAAAACCGTTAGATATCAGTTCATAGACTCTTAGTCAGCAGTTACTGAGCAACATTAGAATCTACTCTGAAATTACATGTTTTGCTAAAAAGGCATGAACTTTGAAACTTAAATTGCTCTGTACTAGTAGCTCAGACACTGTCTGCCTTTGTCACCAAGCTATCTTCCTTTCCTCATTCCTTCCTTTATCATCACAGAATAAAGCTGTTCCATCATGAGTTTAAACTCTCCTCTGGCCTTCTGTGAGTCTGTTCTTGACTTTATTACAGAATGCATATTCCACACTACACACTTATAAAATAATATTCATTCTCTGAATCTTAAAACAACAGCATACATTTTTATTATCATCTCCTAATTCCCTACCTCTGTCCCTCACCCCATATCTTTGTCTTTCACAAGATCCTGCTGAATCTGGATTTATGCCTGTCTCTCTCTTAAAGTTTTTAGCCAAAGTCACTGTAGGTCACTACCCGAAATTCCTACTGATTATTTTTCTTCTTCTCTGATCTAGTACTTTTAAAACATAAACCTAACAAGTGTGTGAAAAACATACACCCCATTATAAACAAAGATCCAAATCAAAACAACACTGAAAAAAAAAAAAAAACTACACTGAATTATCATGTTTCAGTTGTCAAATAGTCAGGAATTTTTAAAAATAAAAATAACTGGTTTTGTTGTAGGAGAGGCTACATTGGAGATAGTAATCTCATATATTACTGGTAGGAATGTAAATACTGCATTTCAACAACACTTATCAAAAGCTTTTAAAATAAATTCATAAAAAGTGTTAGAAAGTGTTCTAGTTTCATTCTTTTACAAGTGGTTGACCAGTTTTTCCAGCACCACTTGTTAAAGAGGTTGTCTTTTTTCCATTGTATATTCTTGCCTCCTTTGTTGAAGATAAGGTGTCCATAGGTATGTGGATTTATCTCTGGGCTTTCTATTTTATTCCATTGATTTGTATTTCTGTCTTTATGCCAGTACCATACTGTCTTGATGACTGTGGCTTTGTAGTAGAGCCTGAAGTCAGGCAGGTTGATTCCTCCAGTTCCATTCTTCTTTCTCAAGATTGCTTTGGCTATTCGAGGTTTTTTGTATTTACATACAAATTATGAAATTATTTGTTCTAGTTCTGTGAAGAATACCGCTGGTAGCTTGATAGGGATTGCATTGAATCTATAGATTGCTTTGGGTAGTATACTCATTTTCACAATATTCATTCTTCCAATCCATGAACATGGTATATTTCTCCATCTATTTGTGTCCTCTTTGATTTCTTTCATCAGTGTTTTGTAGTTTTCTATGTATAGGTCTTTTGTTTCTTTAGGTAGATATACTCCTAAGTATTATATATAAATAAATTAATAATTAAAATAAATTAATAAATAATTTAAAATAAATTCATTGATCCAGGAATTCTACATCTAGGAATTTATCCTGAGCTGTAATTAACTAAGAATATAAATAAAGTTATGGGTTTATTAGAGCATGAACATATAACATATAGATGAGAAGAATTAAAAACAGTATAATTTCCAACAATAGGGGACTGATTGAGCCAATGGATAGTACACATATTTAGTGGAATGATATGTAATCATCTTTAATATTATGGAAGTATATTTAATGGTATGGAAAAATATTTACAATGTATTATTAAGTGGAAAAACCTAGTTATTAAAACAATAATTATAATACCCCATTTTTATTAAAATTAATTAAGAAAGTCTAGAGATACACATTTTTCATAAAAATACGAAATTAGAAATAATGGTTATCTCTGCTTTTTATTTTCTATTTTATCTGTATTTTCTATAATTATTTCTATAATTTTTAATTCCTTCCCCATTTATAAGTGTTTGGTAGTCATCCATTATGCTTAAGGTAAATCCAAACTCCTTAGAATGGCATTCAAATCTCTTAACATTCCAGACTCTACCTTTCCAGGCTATCTCCAGCCACATAACCTAACTCTAGAACTATTTGCCATACTCTGAAGATGTTATCTAGAATACTTTTTATGCTTTTACTTACATGCTTTTATTTATGTTTTCTTTGCCAGGAATGCCTATCCCTGTTTGTCTACCTCTTTAAAATATTACTTGCCCTACAAAGCACATAGCTCAAATATTTTCTTTCTGTGTATATTTCTATCATGTCATTTCTTTTTAACTGTTTTATAATGATCTTTTTATGTATCATTTGTGAGCTCTTTGAGGACAGTGACCGTTTCTTATACATTTTTGTAGTTGCTTTGTCCAGCATGCTACCTGGCACATAATAGGTTCTCAGGAAACAGGATTAATAAACAAGTAAGGCCTTTCCCTCTATAAAAGCAGTTTATTGCTGCATTAGGTTCCTGAGGTTCATGTTCAGAAAGAGGTATAACATTTTATTATCCTACTTCTTTGCCCCTTTCTACACCAAACCACTACACTGAGGCTGCAGTGTATCTCCTTGGAGGTAGTACCTGTGACTTATTCAACTTTATATCCCTAAAAGGTAAAATACAATTTCTGGTACCCAATAGATGTCAGATCAGATTTGAGGACCTGAACTGAATACAGTCTCCCTTTGCCAAACACAAATTTTCCTGAATTGAAAATTTAACTCAATCAAAATATCTTCTTCTCATCTCATAGAGCATGTGCCTACAGCCTGTGCTCGGGTTGATGCCCTGCGTTCCCATGGTTACCCAAAAGAGGCCCTCAGACTCACAGTGGCCATTATCAATACTCTCAGGTTGCAGCAGCAGCGCCAACTGGAAATCTACAAGCATCAGAAGAAAGGTATAGTGATCAGGAGCCATCTCAACTCCTTAGGCTGACGGGGTTCTCAGGGACTACAAGGCCCAGGACATAATTTTAATTCAGTTTCCTGGTGTGGCAGGGGCTAGGGGATTCTAGGTCATTCTACCTTCTGTGTGAAATCTCTCTCTTTACCTCGATAAATCTCAGTTTTCTTATCTGTAAAATGGGAGTAATAATGCTAACCTGCTTCTTGCACAGGACAGTTGGATCCACTGAGATCTGGTATGAGAAGACCCTTTTTAAACTGTAAGGCTGTGTCTACATAGTGTGCTATCAGCAGGCAGCCTAAATGCATACCACATGGCCTCACAGTGGCTGATGAGCTGGTGACCAGTCTCCTCAACCCAAGGCAAGCTTTACTTTGAGTCAGGGCCACCACCTGAGGGAGACTGATGAGCAGACTTATGAAGAGACCAAGCAGAGACAGAGAGCAGTGTGTCTCTATCCCTCTCAAAAACTTTGACCTGCTTATTTCCAGAACTGTTGCAGAGGGGAACCACAACCATCACAAACCTAGAAGGCTGGGTGGGCCATCCCCTGGATCCGATTGGCTGCCTGTTTCTCACCTTGACTGAGGCCTGCCGCCTGAATGATGATGGCTATCTGGAAGTGTCAGGTACAGGGGTCAGCCTGAGGGAAGCCCAGACTACCCTTCGGAGCCCTCTTCTTTTCCATGACAGAGTCTGTTTTACCCCTCTTGTTCTCTTATCTAACCTGGACCTCCTCTGAGTGGTTTCCTTAGGATTGCTCCTTTCTTATCTTCCTTCCCCACCCTGTGGACTGGCTCTGTCCTGTTCACCCATTTTACCTTGCCAGCCTCAGCTTTCCTTTGCTCCTCTCACTTCCCTACCTTGTGAATGTCTGAAGAGTAATCCAAAGGGAACAAAAAGGGCCAGAGGAATTTGAGAAGTCAGAGGCCAGGTCCTCAGAATGATCTGGAAGTGTAAAAGAACTTGCATCAGCAATGTGTGTATCTCTTGCAATTACATAATACTCTCATGTTTCCCTTGAACATTCTCCCTGGTGGTGGTTTTGTACCAATTTTACAAAAGAGAAATAAAAGGGAGGTAATTTAGTAGAGTCTCAAATTAACAGGGACTTGAGACAAAATTGATTCTTTTTTCCTTTATGCTATCACTGTATTGTAAACATGCACATATTATGGTATTTAGCACACTGCTGAAAAATTTGTTTACAAGTAAGTGTCTCTACTAGCCTTTCAAGTTCCTGAAAACAGCACTTAGGGCAATAACTCTCTTTTAATAGTCTCCCTTAAACATTTACCAGATGGATAATGGGAGAAAGGAAAGAAATTAAGACTCTGGCTTTTAGATCTGTGCTCTCCTCCTGAACCTTAGAACCCAAAGGTGGAGCATAAAAAGTAACAATAACATTAAAGTTGCAAATATCACAAAGTAATAGTTTAACTATTTTAGGAAGGAGTTAATCTTTAGAACCATGTATAACATTTTTTAGTATATTTTTATTTTTTATTTTCAGTATATTACTGTTCTGGTTTTGATTTAGCTTCTTTATGTTAGTTATTGGCCAAGCTGTATCCCAAAGTGTGCATTGGTGGGAGAGGCACAAAAATCCATGGGGCCTGACCTAACACATCTGGTGCCCTGTTGTCCTCAGATATGAATGAAAGCAGACCCCCTGTGTACCAGCATGTGCCTGTGGCTGCAGGCTGCCCAAACAGCAGTGAGTCCTACCTGTCACTGGCCATGGAAGTTGCTCTGATGGGGATGGGTCAACAGAGAGTGATGCCTGAAGGCCTCTACGCACAGGACAAGGTGTGCCGTAATGAGGAGCAACTCCTGAGTCGACTCCAGGAGCTGCAGCTGGATGATGAACTAGTGCAAACGCTGCAGAAACAGTGCATCTTACTTCTAGAAGGTAAGTAGAGAAGGGACTGTTGGCACAAAGTCTTAGGCATTTGACTCTAAGTTCCCCTCTGTCACAGAGCACAGGTACAGCAACATTTAAACTTTAAAGTGTAATGAAGGTTCCCATGGCTAGCAAACACTTGTGGGATCCCTGGAGCTCAAGTTCAGACAGGCAAATAAAAGCATACAGATAAACAACTGGCTGGTTTATCTCCTTCCTGCAGGAGGCCCCTTCAGCGGTCTGGGAGAAGTCATCCACCGAGAGAGTGTTCCCATGCACACCTTTGCCAAGTATTTGTTCTCAGCTCTGCTGCCTCATGATCCAGACCTGTCCTATAAATTAGCCTTACGTGCCATGAGGTGGGTAGCCTTTTCCCAGGCCAAATGCCTCCACCAAAGCAGAAGTCTCTTTGTTTGTCTCACTTTCTTTTCTTTTCCTCTTTCTGTGTTCTATTGGACCTGCCATTGGCCTGCCCTAAAATGGTTCAGATATTTTCATATGATCTAGGACTCCTAGCTAGTGACATACATGTTCCCTGGCTGCATTCTCAGTGAGCTGAAGAAGTCTCTGAGATTTTAACAGATACAGAGTATCTAAGGCCTGAGTCTCTTTGTTCCAGGGCTGGTTTGGCAGCTTCACAAAGGGTTTGAGCCCTTCCATATCTAACTGAGAAATGGTTCCCAGGCATAGGTCACCAGATACATCTGGGGAAGTAGAAGTAAGTCTTTCTATATCAAGACTTGAGAACAATGAGCTATGGGCATCCTGTCTCTAAACAAGAGTAGAATCCTTGGTTCAGGCAGGTAGTCTTCTAGGATGCAGCAGAGCATACAGAAGAATTTAAGTTAGACTATAAGGCTGAGAGAGCTCCTTAGCTTGAGAGAGCTCCTCAGCTTAACTGCTGAGGATTACTTGTACTTGGCATATATTTTTTATACTTTAACAAATAATCTTATGACTTTTTAACTGTTTTCAGTAAGAACTGTTCAGCTTGAGTTTTTCCAAGTGCCCAGGCACTCACCTCATATAAAGTACAGTACCCATAGGTTTTAAAACCTTTGAGGTTCTTCATTAACCCTTTCCTTCCCAGTTCCTCCCCAGCAAAGAACAAGCTTCTCTAAGGTGGCTCAGAATGGCAAGGGTCTGGGTGGTAGCTGATGACTCTCCCTGGGTCTTCTAGGTTACCTGTTCTAGAAAACTCAACTTCTGCAGGCGACACTTCCCACCCTCACCATATGGTATCTGTGGTGCCCAGCCGTTACCCTCGCTGGTTCACGCTTGGACACTTGGAATCACAGCAGTGTGAACTGGCCTCCACCATGCTGACTGCTGCCAAAGGTGAGCATAGATAGATGTAAGGTTCCAGCACCCCCAGTATGCCTGCCTGGTCATGACCTACCAAAGGCTTAGCCTGAGTCTCCTAAAGAAGAGAAGCTATTGGACTTCCCTTAAGCACTTAGAGTGGTAGGGATCCTCACTTTGATTACTGCCTATTATAGTAAACACCTGAGTCCAAGTCAGAGTTTTGCCATAGTTACTAGTTGTAGGACTCTGAGAACAGAGAATAGATCATCTTTAAGGTAACTTCTAAATCTAACCTTCCATATGATAAAGTCACTTTACATTTCTAAGCCTCTGGTTTAGAAATCTATAAAATGGGGATCATTGTCAATGACCTGTCAGCTTCCCAGGACCACTGGAAGATCCAGTGAAGTGATGGAGCTCCAAATCTCAGATATGAGAGTTTATGATTTTTCTAGGGCCCCTGGTCAAAAAAATAAGACAGTCCAGAGTGACTCAGGTTTTTAATCACATCCTCCATGTTAACTATGTAGATCTCATCACAAAGAGAAGCAAAAATAAGCCCCAGAGAAGTTATAATAAAATACTAGCTGCCATGGATTGTAAGTATTTTTCCGATACCAGGAAATTACATGGGTTTTTTAAAGCACTTTCTTTAATTTAAAATAACTCTATGTCTTGTCTTCTTATAGTAAAAAGAATGTATGCTCATTGTAGAAAAGGTAAAAGATACAGATAAATCAATATAAAAATTATTTTTAAAAAACAGTAAAAAAATTGAACAAATATGATCAGGCAGTTTACAGAAAAGAAGATACAAATGACTTTTAAACAATTAAAAATGCCGGGCCTCACTTGATAAATACAAATTAAAATGACTCTGAGATAACATTTTTCATAAATCTTATTGGCAAAAATAATAAATTTGACACTAGACATCCATATGGGAAGTGGGAGTGGCAGTGGCCTATCATGGAGTGTCAGATTCCAAGCAGGATAAGGATAACACAGATTTAAGATGCTTACTGAAACTCAAGCATAAGAAATATGAAGAAAATTATACCAAGGCACATCATAATCAAATTGCTTAAAACCAGGGATTAAAGAGAAAAATCTTACTTAAAACAACTGCAGGGAAAAAAATACACACTATATACTAAGGATAAATGATAAGTATGAGAGCAGGTTTCTCATTAGAAGCAGTATAAGCCAGAAGACAGTGGAGAAAAATCTTTAAATTACTCTTCTAAAAAAAAATTTGACCTAGAATTCTATACCAGTGAAAATATCTTTCCAAAAAAAAAAAAAAAGGTAAAAGGAATTTCCTGGCAGTCCAGTGGTTAGGACTGCATACTTCCACTGCAGGTAGCATGGGTTCAATACCTGGTCGAAGAACTAAGATCCCACATGCCATGTGGCATGGCCGATAAAATAAAATGATGTTTAAAAAAATAAATAAATAAAATGATGTTTAAAAAAAAGCTGAAATAGGATGGGGAGGGAAGAGGGAGGAGGGTTCAGGATGGGGGACACATGTGCACCCATGGCTGATTCATATCAATGTATGGCAAAAATCACTACAATATTGTAAAGTAATTAGCCTCCAATTAAAATAAATAAATTTTTTAAAAAGCTGAAATAAAAATCTTTTCCAGATAACCACAGTTGAATTAGAAATCAATAATAAAAATCCACTAAAGTTTTAGAAATTAAACTGTACACTTCCATATAACTCACTGAACAAAGGAGAAAAACACGAAAAAATATTAATAGAAAATATTTTAAACTGAATGAAAAAGTACAATACTTAAAAATTTGTGGATTAGAGCTAAAGCTTTACTTAGAGGGAAATTTTTAGCACTTAATACCTATGTCTGAAAAGGATTAATCTCAAAAATATACAAGCAACTCCTCTAGCTCACCTCCAGAAAAATAAATGACCCAATCAAAAAATGGGCCAAAGAACTAAACAGACATTTCTCCAAGGAAGACATACAGATAGCTAACAAACACATGAAAAGATGCTCAACATCACTCATTATCAGAGAAATGCAAATCAAAACCACAATGAGGTACCATTACACGCCAGTCAGGATGGCTGCTATCCAAAAGTCTACAAGCAATAAATGCTGGAGAGGCTGTGGAGAAAAGGGAACCCTCTTACACTGTTGGTGGGAATGCAAACTAGTACAGCCACTATGGAGAACAGTGTGGAGATTTCTTAAAAAGCTGGAAATAGAACTGCCATATGACCCAGCAATCCCACTTCTGGGCATACACACCGAGGAAACCAGATCTGAAAGAGACACGTGCACCCCAGTGTTCATCGCAGCACTGTTTATAATAGCCAGGACATGGAAGCAACCTAGATGCCCATCAGCAGACGAATGGATGAGGAAGCTGTGTTACATATACACCATGGAATATTACTCAGCCATTAAAAAGAATTCATTTGAATCAGTTCTAATGAGATGGATGAAACTCGAGCCCATTATACAGAGTGAAGTAAGCCAGAAAGATAAAGACCATTACAGTATACTAACACATATATATGGAATTTAGAAAGATGGTAACAATAACCCTATATGCAAAACAGAAAAAGAGACTCCGATGTATAGAACAGACTTGTGGACTCTGGGAGAAGGCGAGGGTGGGATGTTTCAAGAGAACAGCATCGAAACATGTATATTATCTAGGGTGAAACAGATTACCAGCCCAGGTTGGATGCATGAGACAAGTGCTTGGGCCTGGTGCACTGGGAAGACCCAGAGGGATCGGGTGGAGAGGGAGGTGGGAGGGGGGACCGGGATGGGGAATACATGTAAATCCATGGCTAATTCACTTCAATGTATGACAAAAACCACTGCAATGTTGTAAAGTAATTAGCCTCCAACTAATAAAAATAAATGAAAAAAAAAAAAAACCTATGTCTGAAAAGAAGAAAGGTTTCAAATCGGTGATCTCAGATTCTAACATAAGAACCCAGAGAAGAAGAGCAAATGAAACCTAAAATAAGTAAAAGAAAGAAAATAATACAGATCAGAGCAGAAATCAAATAAAATACAGAAAAACTGAAAATCAATGAAACTAAAAGCTGTTTCTTTGAAAAGATATATAAAATTGAAATCTTTGTCCAGACTGATCAAGAGAAAAGGAGAAAACAAAGTAGCAATTTAAGAATGGGAAAAGTGACATCACAACAAATTCTAAAGACAACTTCATGCTAATAAATTCAACAATATAAATGAAATAGACTGATTTCTTGATGGATACAAACTACCAAAGCTGACTCAAGAATAAATAAGAATTAGGTAGGCATATACCCATTGAAAACATGGACTTAAACAGATATTTGTACATCAATATTAATGGTGGCATTATTCACAATTGCCAAAAGTTGTAAATAACTTGAGTATCTGTCAGCAGATGAATGGATAAACAAACTGTAGTATATATATATACAATGGAATATTATTTAGCCATAAAAAGGAAGGAAGTTCTAATACATGCTACAACATGGATGAGCCTTGAAAACATTAAGTGAAATAAACCAGACACAAAAAGACAAAACATTGTATGATTTCACTTATATGAGGTACCTAGAATAGCCACAGTGAAAAAATAGCAGTAGATACTAAGATAATGGTTGAACATTTGATGAGAAACAGGATATTTACAGTAAGTCCCCTACATATGAACGTGTTCCATTTCAAGAACACATTCATAAGTCAAATTTGTTCGTAAGTCCAACAAAGTTAGCCTAGGTACCCAACTAACACCACTAGTTATATAGTACTGTACTGTAATAGATTTATACTTTTCATACAGTAATACTAAGAAAAAAATAAAACATTTTCAATCTTACAGTACAATACCTTAAAAAGTACGGTAGTATGTACAGTTCAGCAGCTGGCATACAGGGGCTGGCATCAAGTGAACCAGCAAGAAGAGTACAAACTGGAGGTAGGAGAGGAGATAGGAGATGGCAGAGCTGAAGCATGATCAGCAATAGGAGACAGAGGACAAGCAGAAATTTCACTCACACCTAATGTTGATGGAATGCACGTTTATATCTTTGAAAGTTCAAACTTGAAGGTTCATGTGTAGGGGACTTGCTGTACATAGTACTGTACATAGTATCTCTCTACAAAGTATTAATATTTATCAGTCATAAAAGGAAGAAGTATAATTACCATAGAGTAGGTAAACCTGGCAGATATCATTTTAATAATGTGGCCACAATATCATACATTTATAGAGCTAGCATATAGACTAGAGGAAAAACTCGTAGAGCAGAAAGTAGAATAGAGAGGGGAGGGAAAGGAGAAGTTACTATATAATGAGTATAGAATTTCAGATGATGTAAAAGTTCTGGAACTAGATAATGGTGATGTTTGCACAACAATGTGAATGTACTTAATGTCACTGAATTATACCCTTAAGTGCTCAAAATGGTAAATTTATGTCTATTTTACCACAGTAAAAAGAAAAGAATAAATAGAAATGAAGTTCAGAGAAATTGAATTAGTAGTTAAAAATCTTTCCACAAAGAAACTCCAGGGCTAAATGGCTTCACTGGTAAATTCTACCAAACATTTAAGGAAAACATAACAATTCTATATAAACTCTTGCAGAAAATTGAAGAGGAGGAAATACTTCCTAACTCAGTCTGTGAAATCATCATTATCCAGATACCAAAATCAAGCTATTTTGCCAAAAGCTTTAGCTTTGTTTCCGGTTCAAAGAATTCGTTAACAAAAGAAATCCCCCATTACACACAAATAAACAATTTCAGTATTTAACAGAGGATTACTTAATTTCAATATACAATCATTAACAGAATAGAGAAGTAGAAACAATAGAGAAGAGTAACAGCACATATATCACCAAATTGGGCTGCCCAAAATCCAGACCTAAACAGCATGCTGGGAAGTCCCAAGTAACAGCAGTCTGGAGTCCCAGTTGGGAAAAGGTCCTGGGCAGTGTTTCCCCTCCACAGGTGAGACTGCAAATTGCAGTTTGGGAGTTTCCTACTT